ACCTGATGCATCAGTTATGCGTCATCATTCCTCTCTGGTTGGAAACATACTGGTCATTTTAGTGGCGACCTTAGGGCAGCGTTGGCAGTCTGTGGAGACCTGATATTACACAAGCAATTGTTCCCTACATCTCCCAGGCAGATACTGATATATTTGCCCCTCTGTGATAATAGGATCCATATTTCCTCATGCTGACATGGTCACATGCTAAATCTGTCAGCAGCTGGAACTCTTCCAGCCGAGTAGAATGGATGTATTATAAACAAATTCTATTTTTAATAAGACAAATAATAATTTTAATAATATTAATGGTAAAGATAATTTAGTTCAGTGTTATAGTCATTTTAGAGAGTATTTTGAGGAGAGAGAGTTTGCTTTTATTGTGTATTTGAGATGTTGTTTCTCAACAGTGCCAGAATATCCTGTTAGCTTCCTCTGCTTTGATCCAACTCGCAGCGTAAATATGTGGCCTGGTTAACTTCTTCGGGCAATTTTTCAGAATTTCATTTGTCAGATGGTGAGCTGCGAGAGATTTTCCTCATGTGTTGAACATTTTCAAAGGTCATTCCTGCAAAGAAAGAGCTCATATTAAAATTTTCATCCTCGGCTTGCTGTAGATTCACTTTGTAAGCATGTGGCATCTGGTGACAGACTTATGATTCTAGTGCAGGATTGCTTTTCCAATCAGYCTTGATGTCTGCTCTTGTAATTCTTTTTTTCTGTCTGCCCCTTCACCACCTCACCCTCGCAGATTCTAAAGTTAAGCTATAACAAGCTGAGAGAGATCTCTTCMTCTCTGACCTTCTCTGGCCTGACATCGCTGCTGCGCCTTTACTTGGATCACAACCTCCTCCAGCACATCCACCCCAGGGCTCTGCTCCAGCTGCCTAGCCTCAGGCTGCTCCGTCTGCAGGGGAACAGGCTGCATCAGCTGCACCCTCATGCCTTGTGCACCCTGTCCCTCCTCAATACGTATTACTTTTCTACACTGAGGTGAGCTTTTTACAACTAATGCATAAAGGTTGTGCTTGAAACAGACAGGACAACAAAGTGAACTGAAATACAAGCAAAGTAATAAAATTTGTAGTTTATTAAAAAAGACACAGTTAAATTTTGAAATAAACCAATGTAACATTGCTAAATTTCATAGAATGTTRACAGTAGTAACATTTCCATTACCGTTTTATGATTTTGTAGAAATAAAACTCTTTACCTCTTTATTTTCTTACACAGAACATAAAATAAGCATGTCTAAACAGGAAAATAAGGACAAAAGCTGAAATAAATGAAATACATTGTCCTCTATCCAAATTAATCACTGTCTGTTTTTTTGGTTTCTTTGTATAAATCTAACATTTGCTCTACCTTTTTTTCTCCTGCAGACACTTAGATTTGTCCAACAACAGTCTAACCACTTTGCACAAAGAAAGTGTAGCAACAGCGCCTCTGCTGGAGAGTCTCATCCTGCAGGCTAATCCCTGGAGCTGTGACTGTAGGATGAACTGGCTTCTCAGCTGGAGTCTGGCTCACCCAGGTGACTCTCTCATGTCTAAAAGTTATACTCTTTATTGCCTCATAATTATATCCTATCTAATTGCTTAGGCCACTGGCTTCTTAAGCTTGACAGACACATGACAAACTGTAGATTAGGAAAGTGAAAGGGAAGATGGAAAATTAATTTCTAATGAGCTAAAAATGTGTGAAATTTGGTTATGTGTTATTCAGATGCCCTTGACCTTAATTTTCTGTCTTCTTTCTTGTCACACATTCTCCATCGTTTCCCCGATTATCTTATCTTTTTCCGGTCTGTCTTGTAGCCTTCAGTGAGATGTGAAAGAAAAGCTGAAGCGTGTAATGTGTCTCGTTGATATGCCAGGCTTAACCTGCCATGACTAATCCATGATGACAGCACTGATGTGTGGCAGTTGATATATAGGCCGATGATTGTGGTGTGATAATGACGTGATAAATACTTTTGATTTATGAGACAAAATAACCATAACTAATTATTTAGAAACATAAAGGGTAATGAATGCTTAAAATGAACTGGTATGACTAATAAATGACTCTACTGTCCACTAAAATGAGCAATAGCTGAAATGTGCACTCTAATGTGTTTCTGTTTGAGTGACTTCCTGATGTGATTGTAATTTCCATTTTCTATTTCTACATTTAGGCTTAATGAAATGTCCCAGTGGTCCTCAGTGTCCAGTCTGTGCATCCCCCATTTCACTTCAAGGTCAAGGCCTGCTTGACCAGACAGCACTAATCTGTTCTTCGCCAATCATCCGCTCACCAGGAAAAGATACACCTTTGGACACTGACCTCAGTGAAATCCAATCTAGTGAAGCCTTCAAAGAGCCTTTAGGCAGTGTCTCACTGGGTCTATCTGACCAGCAAGGGAACAGCATTGATCTGACTTGCAATATTACTCACTCTACTGACTCGCAGGATATTGCTCCTCCACCAGATCTATCATGGACCTCCTCTTCACCTCTTCACCTTGCTGTATCTCTCTCTCTGGAGTGCCCTACTGGGGAACTGAGCTATGAAAAACTTTGGAGGATTCTGGCCTACTACAGTGAGACTGCAGCTAAACTTGAGAGGGAGATCATGCTCAGCAAAGCCCCGGCTTTAGCCTACCGCTATAAGCAGGCACCAGAGGCAGGTGGATATTTTCACACTGGACTCAAAGCATCTGTTAAAGCCATACCGCAGTGGTTACTGCAGCCAGCAATTAGCATTCAGCTGAACAGAGCACAGTCTAGTGGACACAAAGTTCAGCTTACATACTCAACAAGAGTTTCTCCTCATCCAGATCCCCCTTCTCAACTCTCTACATCTCTTGTTTCCCACCAATGGGTGATGATTTCAACTACTACCACAGCATTAGCTGCAGTAGCAGGCAAAAAGATGGAGCTACCCTGCCCTTTTCTCAGTTCTGGTAGGCACAATGTTTCATGGATTCTCCCAGGTGGCTCTAAACTCAACTCTCCCTTCAGCAGTTTAGACAGAAGACTCCAGGTTTCAGCCTCAAATTTACTTATAAAAAGAGTACAGCTCTCCGATGCTGGGATTTATTACTGTGTTGTCAAAGCTGGAAGGGATGTGGATAGTCTTTCTTTACGGTTGGTGGTGGAAGAGTCTTCAGCTCCGTATTCAGCAGAATTAAGTGGACCTTCTGTTACTGGAGCAGTTGGGGAACCTGTCAGTCTATCCTGCAGAATATCTGGCTCACCAGAACCCTCTAGGAGTTGGGTTTTGCCAGATGGAAATGTGGTACAGCAAGGATTGGCTGTATCAAGTGGACTCACAATACATTCAAATGGTAGTCTCTCATTACATAAACCATCTCTGAGAGATACAGGATATTACCGCTGCATTGCGGTCAACCAGTACGGCAGTGATTCTCTGGCCATGCAGCTAATACTAAATTCACAACATATCTCGCCACTTGAGACTTCATTTCCAAGAGGACCGCAGTCAGCCTCTGGCAGGTCAACCAAGATACGAGCCTCCTTATTCCACCAGGTTAATGAAGGGTCAGGGGATGAAGAGGAACAAGAGAAAACTCCTACTGGCAATAGGAGACAGACAATATTGCGCCCGAACCGACGACATCCATCTGGAAAGCTTCAGAGATTTGGCCGAGTGAGAGAAGATCCCCCGAGAAGGGTTGGAGGGCCCAATTTACCCACTGAGGAGAGGAGAAGCCCCCATCAGAACAGACATAGAATTACTACAAACAAACTTAGAATGGACCCAAAGTCATGGGCTGACATCTTGGCAAAGATTCGTCAAAAGGCTGCTAACGCCACTAACAAGCAACCCATTTCAAGTGTAAACACAACGGTCGGATCTGTCCAAGAAGACCAAAATAACGACACAAGAGGACAAGTAGATGGCAATAATATAAATAAAGGCAGAGCTCAAGAAACAGGAACGGAAGCAGAATCTGAAGAGTCTTCAGCCGATGACATTATTCTGAGAGAGAATCAGTCGCAGCCCATTCAGCCTGCCCACACAGATACGCAAGCAATAGCAACAAACAAAATCAATGCAGAGATAGAAAGTGGAGCACAGACAACAGAACATTATATAGATTCAGACATTATGACAAAGGTACAGACAGAAAAAACAAGTCTACACACACAAACAACAGCAATCTCTGTGACTCAGAAAGAGTTGGTCACCTCTAATCCAACATCAGTAACAAATGAAATAGTCCTAGAATCAAATGAGCTGCATGGGCCAGGATTAAACTCTAACCCAGCAAAGACCAGGGCCCACAGTGCTCATTGGGGACTCTTACCTAATTCTGTTCCTAACTCCCGGCCTCAAAGTCCCTGGAACTCACGCAGAAAGATTGGACAAAGAAGACGAATTAAGAGGCCCAGGATTCAACCTATGACCTGTTCTCCATTGCTGTACGACCCCGTGACACCTAATTTAACCACAGATAAAACCACTCTACTGCCAGCAGTGCCAACAGCCTCACATCGAGCCATTAAATTGACAGCTGGTGACCATTTTAAGACCACCTCAAATGGTGTGTCTCTGAATCCTCTGCCTACGCCTTTTTCAGACACTAGTATTTCCACTTCCAGCTTCATATCACCCTCACTCACTTCTTCCTCTGCCCACACACACACAAACACAGACTTTCTGACTCATTCAGCCAAGACACCACAAACTCAAGATTTTACTTTTAACAGCACTCCAGCACCTACTCAACCTAATAATGTGATTTCAGGAACACATGTGCCAAGCATACTTAATAGGACATTTACACACAGTATACCGACTCACACATCAGCACAAACAACCATAGACAAACACACTGAAAGACCCCCAAGCAGTGAAGAGCTAGAGAGCAATGCATTGGACGAGACCCACTTTTCAAATGCTCACTCTTTCACTCATTCCTTTGTCCCCGGTGCATCTTCAKCTACCACTACTGCTGCAGAAATCATAACAACTCCTCCAGCTATTCCCAAGAGAGCTGGTTATGTTGGCTGCACTGAAAGTACATCAACCTATATGGCAGGTGAGGAGACACTTCCAACAACAACCACCACAACAACAATAAGTCCCACCACATCTCCTTCAACCACCATTATCATTCCAATATCCAGCACTACTAGACAGAGTTCAAAATCTCCAAGTACTAAATCTTCTTCTTCCTCTGCTACTTCTTCAACTGGGACCTCAACAGTGAACCCAATTATTTACACCACTGAGTTTACTACAATTCTTAGCACAAGTGCGAGTAGTACTACAGAGTCTATGAATGATATTTCTAGAACTTCCAACCCCTCTACTAGAAGTACTACATTCATAATTCCAACGACTACAAAAATTATTTCAACCGAAACTCCTCCAGTTACCACAGGTGAAATTGCAGCTGATACAATTTTTAGTGTGACAACAGTGGGATCAACGAGTACCAAAGCATCGTTACAAAAGATACCAATCACTGATCAAGCTGACCCTCAAGTAAAGCTTTTTCCTGATACCCCAAACCATAACCGAACTCCAACTGGCTGGAAGAACCAAGGAGCTAATTTTATTCCAGATTCACACAGCAGGCCTCCTTCATCATCACTCCCTGCTGCTCCAGCGGTGAGTACAACCATTTCAAACATTTATTTATTTTATTTTCCATTTTTAACTGTATCAGTGGCTCTTACAGTGTGCACATAATGTATATTTTAGGTCATTATTTGCTCTTTTGTTAATTTATAAGCAAATATAATTTTCCACGTTTTTTGTAGTTGCATGAAAGTGTGTGTGTGTGTGTGTGTGTGTGTGTGTGTGTGTGTGTGTGTGTGTGTGTGTGT